TCTTGCATCTTTTATTGCAGTAAAATGATGTACTTGCCATCCTTGTCATATAACTCCTTGTAATAAGTAATATGATGTGCAATGACAAAGCAATACTAGGACCTTCATTATCTGATAAGTTTATCAACATGATTCAGTATTATGTATATTCAGTAGATGAACTGCGAAGCAGTAGTTTATAAAATTTGTCTCAGGACCCATTACGGTTTATACCCCATTTACTTCAACAAAACCGGATTCAATATTTAAATATCATCCATACATTGTCCGCTCGACTATCAATACAACAAAAATATATCATAATTAGGACAGAAACTTGATTTTTCCATTGCACATTTGATGTGACTTTATAATTTGAAATATTGTAGAGAATATTTATTTCCGTGTTTTGATGTCTCCTCATTTGCTATCGTTGGTTTTTCCTTCGTATTTTGACTTTGGATTTTGCCTTTTTGTGTTCACGTTTTTATATGTATTTTGTTTTTGTTATAGTCAATGCTGTGGTATATTTTGTCTTTGTGTGTTGAAACAGTGGTATATTTTGTCTTTGTGTGTTGCCACAGTGGTATATTTTGTCTTTGTCTTGACACAGTGGTATATTTTGTCGTTGTGTGTTGACACAGTGGTATATTTTGTCTTTGTGTGTTGACACAGTGGTAAATTTGTCATTGTTTGTTGACTGTAGTATATATCGTCCATGTGTGTTGACACAGTGGTATATTTTGTCTTTGTGTGTTGACACAGTGGTAAATTTGTCATTGTTTGTTGACTGTAGTATATATCGACACAGTGGTATATTTTGTCTTTGTGTGTTGACACCGTGGTATATTTTGTCTTTGTGTGTTGACACAGTGCTAAATTTGTCATTGTTTGTTGACTGTAGTGTATATCGTCCATGTGTGTTGACACCGTGGTATATTTTGTCTTTTTGTGTTGACACTCTGGTAAATTTGTCATTGTTTATTGACTGTAGTATATATCGTCCATGTGTGTTGACATAGTGGTATATTTTGTCTTTGTGTGTTGACTGTAGTATATATCGACACAGTGGCATATTTTGTCTTTGTGTGTTGACACCGTGGTATATTTTGGGTTTGTGTGTTGACACTGTGGTAAATTTGTCATTGTCTGTTGACTTTCGTATATATCGTCCATGTGTGTTGACACATTGGTATATTTTGTCTTTGTGTGTTGACACTATGGAAAATTTGTCATTGTTTGTTGACTGTAGTATATATCTTCTTTGTGTGTTGACACCGTGGTATATTTTGTCTTTTTGTGTTGACACTCTGGTAAATTTGTCATTGTTTATTGACTGTAGTATATATCGTCCATGGGTGTTGACACTGTGGTATATTTTGTCGTTGTGTGTTGACACAGTGGTATCTTTTGTCTTTGTGTGTTGACACTGTGGTAAATTTGTCATTGTCTGTTGACTGTAGTATATATCGTCCATGTGTTCACACAGTCGTATATTTTGTCTTTGTGTGTTGACACAGTGGTAAATCTGTCATTGTTTGTTGACTGTAGTATATATCGTCTTTGTGTGTTGACACAGTGGTCTATTTTGTCTTTGTGTGTTGACACTGTGGTAAATTTGTCATTGTCTGTTGACTTTCGTATATATCGTCCATGTGTGTTGACACATTGGTATATTTTGTCTTTGTGTGTTGACACAGTGGTATGTCTTTGTGTGTTGACACAGTGGCATATTTTGTCTTTGTGTGTTGACACAGTGGTATGTCTTTGTGTGTTGACACAGTGGCATATTTTGTCTTTGTGTGTTGACACAGTGGGATGTCTTTGTGTGTTGACACAGTGGTATATACGTTTACTGTGGTATATTTTGTCTTTGTGTGTTGACACTCTGGGAAATTTGTCATTGTTTATTGACTGTAGTATATATCGTCCATGTGTTCACACAGTCGTATATTTTGTCTTTGTGTGTTGACACTCTGGGAAATTTGTCATTGTTTATTGACTGTAGTATATATCGTCCATGTGTTGACACAGTCGTATATTTTGTCTTTGTGTGTTGACACTCTGGTAAATTTGTCATTGTTTATTGACTGTAGTATATATCGTCCATGGGTGTTGACACTGTGGTATATTTTGTCTTTGTGTGTTGACATTGTGGTAAATTTGTCATTGTTTGCTGACTGTAGTATATATTGTCCTTGTGAGTTGGCGCTGAAGTACATATTATTCTTGTGTGTTGACGCTGTGGTGTATGTTGTCCTTGTGTGTTGACGCTGTGGTATATGATGTCCATGTGTGTTGACGCTGTGGTATATGTTGTCCTTGTGTGGTGACGCTGTGGTATATGTTGTCCTTGTGTGGTGACGCTGTGGTATATGTTGTCCTTGTGTGTTGACGCTGTGGTATATGTTGTCCTTGTGTGTTGACGCTGTGGTATATGATGTCCTTGTGTGTTGACGCTGTGGTATATGATGTCCTTGTGTGTTGACGCTGTGGTATATGATGTCCTTGTGTGTTGACGCTGTGGTATATGTTGTCCTTGTGTGTTGACGCTGTGGTACATGATGTCCTTGTGTGTTGACGCTGTGGTATATGATGTCCATGGGTGTTGACGCTGTGGTATATGATGTCCTTGTGAGTTGACGCTGTGGTATATGTTGTCCTTGTATGGTGACGCTGTGGTATATTTTGTGTTTGTGTGTTGACGCTGTGATATACTTTGTAACTGTGTGTTGACTCTGTAGTACATATTGTCTTTGTTTGTTGACGCTGTAGTACATATTGTCCTCGTGTGCTGACGCTGTTGTATATTTTTCCTACTGTGTTGACGCTATGGTATATTTTGTGTTTGTGTGTTGACGCGATGGTATATTTTGTGTGTTGACGCTGTGGTATATTTTGTGTTTGTGTGTTGACGCTGTGGTATATTTTGTGTTTGTGTGTTGACGCTGTGGTATATTTTGTGTTTGTGTGTCGACGCTGTGGTATTTTTGTCCGTATTAGTTGACGCCGTTGTGTGTTTTTCCTTTTGTGCTGACGCTTTAATACATTTTGTCTTGCAGTGTTGACGCTATGGTATATTTTGTTTCTGTGAGTTGACGCTGTAGTACATTTTGTCTTTGATAGTTGACGCTGTAGTACATATTTTCCTTGTGAGTTGATGGGTGTTGATGTTTTAGTATCGATTGTCCCTGTGCGTTCAGGCCGTTGTACGTATTGTCCTCGTGTGTTGACGCTGTGGTAAATTCGTCAGTCTGTGTTGACATTGTGGTATATTTTCCCCTGTGTTTTGATGCGTTTGCATAGATTGTCCCTATGCGTTGAGGCCGTTGTAAATATTTTCCCTTTGAGTTGACACTGTGGTACATTTGTCCTTGTTAGTTTTCGCTGTGGTATATTTTGTCCTCGTGTGTTGACGCTGTGGTAAATTCGTCAGTCTGTGTTGACATTGTGGTATATTTTCCCCTGTGTTTTGATGCGTTTGCATAGATTGTCCCTATGCGTTGAGGCCGTTGTACATATTTTCCCTTTGAGTTGACACTGTGGTACATTTGTCCTTGTTAGTTTTCGCTGTGGTATATTTTGTCTTTGTGTGTTGACACAGTGGTATATACGTTTGTCTTTGTTTTTATACTTTGTCATCTTCAATATAAAACTATGGCAAACCAAAACACGGACATTTAAAATTTCCTGTAACCGATATGATGGATTAATCTTATGAATCACCCCGTACTTGTGGTCAAGTGTATTCAACTTGACGTTTTATTTGATAAACAAATAAAAGTATTACTTCAATATATTTAAATACCCTACTTTTGCATAATTGAAATATTTGAACGATGAGGTCATTTTTTTCATTCCGTTTTCATTATGATTTACTGCAACTTGATTGATGTACAAAAACGGAAATCGGAATGTGTTAATATAAATTTGATATCTTAAAAATAACAATAATACATATTTTATAGCATTTGATTATCACAAATATAACTTGTTTTTATTAATATTACTGGAAATTTTAAATACACATTACGGTTAAACAATGAATTGCATTTTTTTTATTTATGGAAACGTAATCAATGTAATAATTCTAGGAAAATAAATAAGCATACATATTCTGGAGCTAGTCGACGTCTGCCTCTTTACAATTTAAATGACGCATGTCTTTAGAAAAGCCAGAATGACATTTTACGTGAAGGTGACAAACGACCAATCGTACAGGTAGGCTCCATACGTTAGGTTCCCAGACCTTATGGTGTGGCCACGCAACAGAAGGCAAAGTTCGCTTAACAATGACTACTTATGGCACAGAAATAATACTCCGACGTAAAATGGGTTCCCAACTTCCTGTCAGAAACCTTTGGATCTAAGTTCAACAAAACAAGGCCGACACGATAGATCCGAGAGCAGTTCAATACGACGAACCTTCTCTCACCTGTAGGAAATACAGGTAAGAACGACATAAACTGGCTTGAAAATTACAGGTAGACCGCCATTCGAATGTCCCAGGCCTGGAAGAGCGAAGAGGTAGGTATAAGGGCATATATATAGTACAACCTGCTTTATCTGAACTTGCAGTTCTAGATCACAATCAGTCTGCGATATGTAACCGTACATTATCAGTCATGGGACGTTTTAAGACCCCGTTATCGGCCGAACGCGACTAAATACAGGTAAACATTGTATCTCTACTACATTTTATTGCCGCCATAATGACAATTTTGAGTTGTCCGGCAAAACTGAGATACGGTACTTAAGCTTACGATACCGCCATAATATTCAGTGGCCATATTATGCAAATGAGTTTAACCCAGACAGGTCAAAGGTTAAACGGTAAATTTATTCATAAATCTGTACATAACCCTATTCCAGTACGTCTTTTTTCTCGAAGAGCTTTCCACGTATCTTTGCTATCTGTGTGTGCGGTGAAGGTAAGGCGTGGGGTAGACCGTTTGCCAGTTCCGTTGTTATCACTGATAATAATATTTGGTGAGTCTTTATCAGGGTTCGAGCCATGGTAATGAACATTCTCCAGAGTGCTTGTGGCCTTCTCTGATTTATCGCAGTTTACAACCAACATGTCAATATGTCGTCCAGTCACCGACTATACCGAGCTATCGGGAAGGTTTGCTCCGGTCCTCAAACTGCATGTAGGCTATCGGCGATAAAACTTTATCGTTCCAGGTTTAAGTTGTCTCTCTGGCACTTGGTGAACACAATCTCTCCAGGTCTTGACACGATCACATTTGATTTGTTTTGAAACTTCATCAATTTATCTGGAGGACATCTTAATTTTCATTTTCTGTGATAATTCTTCATACTTTTGAAACTTTGGACTGGATTAACTTGGCAGGATACAGCGCAAAAGATACTTTGAAACTACACTTGGTCGCAAAGAAATTTGTTTTGGTTTTCCCGAAAAAAGTTGAAATCATTTTCTTTTCGTTTTCATTAAATTATAAATACAAAAGTTAAAACAGTCCGACAAGTACTCGTGAAGACGGTTGTCCGTGTTGATTGTTCCCAAGTTTTAAAGACAGTTTTGGCATTGCATTCTTCAAGTGTTATTGAAAATCTTATTTCTATGTTAAATGATTTAGACGACTTCAAACTTTCAAAACTTATATTAAAACTAAAAGACTATCACAATTGATCGTAAAAGAAGCATATGTATCCGAAACTCTGCACTACTGAGCTCTGATCTTAAGCATTGGCATTGTTTGTGTGTTAGCACGCAAAGTGTAGACCGTTGTGAGAGTTTGGTTACCGTTTTGGGAGGTGTTTTGTCGCGGTATACCTTTGTTCATTGTGCGAGCTGCGACACTGTAGCCCCTAACCTACCGTCCTCTCAGCATTATGCATTGGCTCAGGTAAGCACTCATACAGGTAAAAACGAGCATGGTGACAGCCATAAGGGACCGTATGCCTCGGTAGGACTAGGTCCAACATTTAGAGGTCAACTCTAGCTACTTGCTGGGAACATTTAGGTCGAGAGAAACGCATACATGCAGAATTTTACTGTGGCTACCTTCTCCTTTATTTCAGCTTCTGTTTTTGCAAGCTTTTGTGTGTGCTTTGGAGATATGTAACGTCTATTGTGTATGCTATTAATAGGATCAGTTGGAATTGCACTAGCAGGTACGTGGCACACCGATAGAAATGGTTCAACACCTGACAAAGGTCTTCAAACTCCTTCATCTCGTTATGTCAATCAATTCTTGTAGTATCCCAATCCCCATTGTATGTTCTTTAGTTAATGTTAAGAACTGTTGGCAGCTTTACTGAAACGCCATGTCGTAATTATCATAATTGTATGTTAATGAATCTATGTTTTAAACAAGAACATTATTACTTATTATAAAGTATTTTCCAGTTTGGTGCTTTAAAAAGTATTATGTTTTTATATTCTTATTTTTAAATCAAGAGTTCATTTCATTGTTGAAGATTTTTTTGGTATTGTGTGCTAATAAAATGCAATATGTTGAAAGATATTTCTCGGAATAACGCAGCTAGGTAAAGCAGTAGATATTACACTATTTAAGGTTAACAGTAATTGGGTTTTTTTCAATGATCTACAAAGATAATATGGTTGAAGATGTTCAAACAATGGAAAATAATATCTCAGTCTTGTGTTTTTTTTATTTTCCTAGCTAAACGTATTTTTGTTCATTAAATCTTAACCATTTTCACATATTTTAATTCATATCATTCAGTGAACGATATAGTACAGAAATAAAGCGATCAAATACACAGTTAAAGTTGATTTGTAAATATGTCGTCTATTTAAGGGTACTTAAAGTGTCAGATAGACTGTAATCATATCCATGGTGTTGATATTGGGTTTTATATTTACAGATTAATGCTTTGTTCTCTTGTGTTGTACAAATAAACAAGTTTTATTGATGCGATATAATCTGTATAAAGATTAGTTTTCATAAAATATTCGTTTCGTTTTTTCACTCTTCAGTTCTCGTTTTGATCATAAATTCTTTTCTTAAATAATATTATTCTGATATAAACTTGATCGTAACAGTCAATCAATTCTTTTTTAATTCCATTCAGATGATTTTTTTTCACCTTCAAAATATAGGTATAGTCTAGAAAAACACATATACAAAGATATTCATGGTAGTTTATCTCTGTCTGTATGACTATTTAATATAATCCGTCGCCATGGGCATCATCCTAATCACTTCTTCACATTCGCCATGTTTTCGTCAGTTTTTCACTGTACAGTATTGATAAATATAAAATATTTTTTGTCTACTCTTGTTGTATATATGTAATATATCTAAGATCCTATTTTATCATTTCAGTGTAAAATAACAAAGTACCAGACGTGATGTAATGCCCATTATTCCATCCGCTAAATCGCGTATCGTCAACGTCTGCCAAGATATAAGTTTTTTGTTTTTGTTAACGATTCCTTTTCACTCCTTCGTCATCATTTCGATAAACCACGTTCTAACGCAAAGTATTTGGTTTTACTGTTATTTCTTTTAATGACATTCTGCATCGTTGACATTATGAGATACTTGAAGTAAAAATGATTCAAGCATAACACAAAATATATGTAATACTGTGCGTTCCATTATTTTATGAATATGACATAGATTGGCTTTATTTGCCTTTCCTTATTTTTATAGTTTAAGCACGTCGTTAAATTCAGTAAGGAACTACAAATACTACTATTAAACAAGTGAATTTATCAAATCAATAACAAAATAAAATAATTTAAAACCGTATTTGTATAATTTAATATATATCACTTTTATAAACAGAATTGAGGTGGTAGTGCCTAAAATGCAATATTTAAAATTGATCTAGATAGATTTTCATTTCAACTGCTTATGGATTTATCATATTTTGAGAAATCCATCACGTTTCTTAAGACTATATTTACTAGTGCGAAATTCAAATTTTATATTGTCTGTCAAATGTTACTACTTCTAATTTGTTAGGTAAAAACTTTGTGTTATACGAAACTAGAGAACGAAATTTGCAGGATTTACTTTTTATTTTTGCTTTCGTTTAAAAGATTTTGGGAAAGTTTTTTTTACATCAAAGAAGACTTTTTTTCATTCACTTATTTAACTTTATTGATTTTTAAATTCAAAGTTCAAAGTTTAAAATATTTCTAATATATTTTGTTTTTAGATTATGACTGAAAAATGTCATCTTATCTGCATAACACGATGAAACTAAGCTTCACTTAAGACAAAGAAATATATCAGTTATTCAAATATATTTTCTTGGAATAAAAATCATCAATGCATAAATATTTTTTCATTCTATGTCTTGTATTTGAATTTACATACAATAAGCATATCGCTTTTTAATTTATGTAATTATTTTTTACTAGAGTTTAATAAATACTCCACCAAATATTCTTTATATTTTATACCCAAAAACAATGTGCTGGGGTAAGGCTTTTACAGTTTATCTGTGCTATTTTTATTTCATTTTGATCTTCTTTTTATCTCCAGATGTTTTTATTTTTTTTCGATCTTTTGTGTTTTTTCATTTGAATAAATCTAAAGATCGATTCGGCTTTCTGGGTCTTTGTCAGCTGGTTTAAGGATCTAAGCCGTATCAAAAAATGTCTTTGACCAAACATCCAAACAATTACTTATTTGAAGTTATTTCGGAATTTTTAAGAAGGCTCTGTTTATTTACTTAGAATTAGTTGTGTTAAGTTTAAACCACTTTCAACAACCCGAATTTGGTTCAATCATAATTATCGTTTTTCTGAATGAGTTTAATAAATTACAAAGTCAATTATTTCTTGTCTTTTTATATGCTGGGAAGTTTTCAAAAGTTTATTTTCATTTATTTATGTTTATTTATCAGGAATCAAAAATTTATTTTAAACACTAAATATTCTTACGGTTTTTGTTTTTGTTTTTGCTAGTTAATCTATTTTCAGGCTATAACAAATAATGAAAATTAAAGATGTCTTGTTTCTTTAACACATTGAGTTTTCTTGTTATAATATCTCGGAGAAAATAGATTGTTTATTTTTGTTTTCCAATTTGTTTTTATAAATTTATACGTAATTGAACAAAAAATATTATTTTCAATTTTATGGAATGTCCTATGTTTCCTTTCATTTTCATTTAATAATATTATTTATTATATAATATTGTTTTAGGTTGTTTTGTATATGGCTTTTTTGTTCATGTTTTTCTCTTGAATTATTTACAAATTGTTAGTTATACGATCGATCTAGCTTAATTCATATGAAACTTTGATTTTCATGTGTTCATTTGAATGTTCGTAATTATGAATGTTGCGACTGAATTGTTACTGTCATTTATTCTTATTTATTGATATTTATATTAATCAACATTCTTATTTTGTTTTTCCAGGTTTGCAGCCTATCCAGGCACGGCCACACAGGTAGGAGAACGTCCAGGCTGTGTGTGTACCGACACGAGACTGTCCTTTCCCAGTCAGCTCGGCGGACGTCCAAAGATCAGCGAGACTAGGGTACACCCTATACTTCAGCAGTACTGTGAGCTAAATACAAACAACGCGACTAGCCATGGCACAGATTAGGCCTCGCGAGAGCTGGCCAAGACCCTCGCCACCCGGGATCACACGAAGCCCACTCAATCCGCCTGTGTATGCCGAAGAGGAGGAGGAAGAGAAGGCGATTCATGAGGAAAGACACGTGCCAATACCGCAGGAAACTGTGGAGGTAGAGGAGAGTATTGACGAGGTGGTTGAAGAAGTTTTCGAGGAAGAAGTGGGTGGTGAGTGCGAGCTTCAGGACGAATCCGTGTATGAGTATCAAGGTACAGGGTCCAGCGATTTGGATGAGTCAATATCTGTTTGTACAGATACGCGTGTACGGGTAGACGACTGTGTGACAGAGTCGCAACAGCAACACAGCGACACAGTGGTCCTTTCTTACCATACCCAGACACCAGAGTCCGCGGCCGAGACAGCTCAGGCGGTGGAAAGCATCAGCCATATCGAGGATGTAGGGACACCGGAAGTCTCCAGATCACCACCACCGTTACAAACCGTGCAAATAGTGAAATATCCCAACAACGGAAGTTTACATCGCGTCGGGGAGGACGACGATCTAGGACATACGCACTTAACGAATCTGTCGACAGCAGGACATGGGTCGTTCGCGGGATTAAATCTGACGAACGCACCAGTTGGTCTAGTTAATATATCCGGTTCCTCGAACCTGCATTCAACTTTCGACAACACAAATAACGTGCTGCTCCCCCAGGTGGACGTTGAAGAATTCTTTGACAAAATGGAGCGTCCCATGGCTACTTCCGTATCTCTGGGCAATTCTCACTATACGACTGGAGGAAACGGTCACTTGACAACGTTGACCAACGCGCCGATGACGCCACAAACAATTTATCAAGGGTTATTAGGTTCATCTGGTGGTGTGGTGACTTTACCCCACCACTCGGCTTACTCGGACATTCATCATCCTTCATATCATTCACCATTATCCTCACTGTACTTGCCGCCCGGTCGGCCACATGATTACGGACTTTCATCGTCGGCGTCTCCGCCACAGTCGTCTACGCCCTCCTCTCAATGGTCAATTCCTTCTCAGGAAGCAACGTATACTAGCATTGGACTGACATCCCCTGTAAAGTACTCTTACCCTCTCACTAACGACAGTGGATCCCCTTCCCACTCCTCCATCCGCAACGAGGGTTCCCCCGGGCTGCAGTATGCTCGGGGACAACCCCCGAGTGAGGCCTCATATGGGAGTTACTTGAGTCATGAACTCGCAGGACAGACTGGCATTTCCCCCTTTAACATGGCGGTAGAGGAAGCCAGAACTCAAGGTAAGTCAATATTTTCACCAATTTCTTGCAACTTTCAAGTTCCGCCGCTATTGAATCCTATGGTAATTGTTACTGATCAGAACAATAGGGTTGTACCCTAATGCTATGAAAATAAGTGTAATCAGATAACATATCATTCCCCCAATGTAATGGTTTGTAATTGCATCAGTCTTCTTTGTGTAATTATAACTGACCAAAGGGCAATGGTGATTGAAAGGGTGCCATTGCGCCTTATGGCAACAGTACCTGGTCTGATTAGGCGCCATTGTGCCAAAGGCAATGGTGATGGGTTTGATCTGGTGCCATTGCGCTGTAGTATGATGTAGACTGGACAAATTAAGGTTTTATGTGTTCCTTATCAAGTCTTTGATTGGAATTTGGCATTGGTAAATTCGTGTTGTTTTCGTAAAACGTATACGAATAAAGGGTTATTGTGAAAATGTTCTTTCAATATAACATTCCGCGTATCAACCCTATTTGCTAAGATGCTATCCCTAAATATAACATACTTTTTAACCCCTGAACTATAACCCAAACATTAAAAATATGAAATTAATTATTTTGTGGTGATTGTCGTATTCCCTACTTACGTATATCAGTGATGTTTTCTTACTTGAATTAAGCTTTCTCTTATGGAAGCAGGTTACTGACAAAATTGACGCGTTAGAGACACCTTGACCTTGTGATAACTTGGTACTGTGACGTAATCACAATGGTTGTCGGTTATCCTACTCATAGAACCATCAGATTAGTTTCATTTCATTGTTTTACTAACATAACTCCGTTGTCATCATCTCTACTGTAATCTTACAAATGAATCCTAAAGATAACAACAAATGTACAAAGTAGTTAATCGAGCTACAAATCAAGTGATGAAATTCTACTCGTGTAAGGTTTGTAATGTGATCACGTGCTATAAATACACGTTACATGCGTGTTGAAAATAAAAATAAATACAATTACTTTATCAAATTATACTGAGAATTGTCATATCAGATTAAGATAAATGGTGTTCCCAGTAGCTATCAAATAATTTCAAATACATTGCAACAGATTAGATAAAAAGGAAAATAGAGAGATTCGAACTGATGATATATTACAATGCATATACTCAGTCCTACATTTTAGTGTAAACACTCACTCACACATTACAATTATTAGGTATGTACTCAATGAGAACTTCCCCCAAATATATTTACTTGCACTTAACAGTTATATACTCACACGTTAAAATGTATATACTCTCTCACATGTTATAATGTATATACTCTCTCACACGTTATAATGCAAATACTATCTCACACATTAAAATGTAAATACTCTCTCACACATTAAAATGTATATACTCTCTCACATATTAAAATGTATATACTCTCTCACACATTATAATGTATATACTCTCTCACACATTATAATGTGTATACATTCTCAAACATCATAATGTGTATACAATCTCACACATTATAATGTATATACTCTCTCACACATTTTTTTCTTCTCACACATTATCATGTTTATACTCACACATTATAATGTTTATACTCACATATATCATAATGTGTATACTCACACATTATAATTTTTATACTCACACATTACATTGTTTATACTCACACATTAAAATATTTATACTAACACATTAAAATGTTTATACTCACACATTAAAATGTTTATACTCACACATTAAAATGTATATACTCTCTCACATGTTATAATGTATATACTCTCTCACACGTTATAATGTATATACTATCTCACAAATTAAAATGTATATACTCTCTCACAAATTAAAATGTATATACTCTCTCACACATTAAAATGTATATACTCTCTCACACATTAAAATGTATATACTCTCTCACACATTAAAATGTATATACTCTCTCACACATTATAATGTATATACTCTCTCACACATTATAATGTGTATACATTCTCACACATCATAATGTGTATACAATCTCACACATTAAAATGTATATACTCTCTCACACATTTTTTTTACTCACACATTATCATGTTTATACTCACACATTATAATGTTTATACTCGCATATCATAATGTGTATACTCACACATTATAATTTTTATACTCACACATTATATTGTTTATACTCACACATTAAAATGTTTATACTAACACATTAAAATGTTTATACTCACACATTAAAATGTTAATACTCACACATTTAAATGTTTAATCCTCACACATTTTGTTTGTTTGTACACCATAAGACATTAATGTAATAATCTACACGTCATTGCTTATTCACTCATTCACGTATTTCAATGTATACACTCACATACACATTATGATACATATTAAAACTCATACATATACGATGTATATACTCATTTGCATATAAAATAATGAATATAAACTATGAGAAACTTTACAATTTATAAAAATTAGTATAAATTGCATTTTATACAATTATATTAATACAATTTTCATACAGCCTTGAAATGTAAAAGCCGCCATTTTGACTCCAGTCTGTGACGTCATTTACTTGTCCTAGGCGTGACGTCACAATTGAAACATCTAAAATTTATAACCAATCATGTGGATGATAGGTCATATTACAGGGGTTTATACGTCAAAAAAATATTAAATTATTATATTCACTGGACAACACGGTACATTATGCGATAAAAAATATATTAAAAATATGAACAATAAACACATAAAATGCTAAAAATAACATAAATAGTTATAAGAATAGCATGAGTATTACACAATAAATATGAATCAAGTTAAACTTTAACGTAAAATACATGTAATAGTAGATCAGGTAACTGCCTTTCTAATATACATCACTATATTTTAATGAGCCTAAAATTGAGTTTTGTTCGCACGAATTGACTGTTCGCTTTTGTTTTCCCACACTCACTTTATTGACCAAGAAAATTGTATTTTATACATTCATGTATACTTTGCATTTTCTTTGTTTTTCCTTTTTTATCCTTTGTTTGTTCTGCTGATATTAAAAAGCTATGCTGTATTTGTCAACATCTTTACGGTGACCGATTAAGGATATGTGCTCCGACATTTGTTTCTGGCTTGTATGAATATAATTCATTTTTTGTTATAATTTTGCTTAATATATTACTGAAAACACAATATAGTCAATGCTTAAACAAACTTAAAAATTCCAACAATCTAACAATGTATTAATGAAATGTAAGAAAATATAAAATGTTTGAAAATAAATGAATATGGCATGTTGAATGTAGTATGTATATATGTTATATATTAAAAATCAAGAATTAAACAATAAACAATGTTAAATAAAAAAAAACAATTAACATACAGAGAAAACAAATGTAACGTGTTAATACATAAATATAATATGTTTAACAAAAAATATACAATGATCAACAAAAAATTAATAATTGAACAAAATTATAAAATGTTGAACAATTATGTAAAAATGTTAAATAAAAAATGTTTATCAGGTAAATCAATAATTATACAATGAAAAACGTTTAAAATGTTATAATCAGGGAAGAATTATAAAAAAGACATCAAGACGGAAATTATTGCTAAATATCGTTTCGATTTGTAACTTCAATAGGGAACAAATTATTGTTTCACGCCAGGTACACACAAACACAACGCTTTACATGCATAATATATATATAAAACTTGTAAAAATGTTAGTTATACAAACGATGTTGAAAAAAACAGTTCACTTTCGCAAAACAATGGTTTAAAACGATAAACGATAACATCAGAAAGATGAACAATAAAATAAACTAATTAATAATAGATATACATTGTCAAACAATTATGCACATTACTTAACATAACAAAATTAAATGGTAAGAAATAACATAAAGTGCTAAATATTATAGTAATTTCAAGAAATAAAACTAAAACGTAAAGCAATTATATAGATTGCTTAACAATAAATATAAAATATGTTTTTATATTATTTTGTTTTCATAAATAACTTTATTTCATTTTACGACAATAGTGAACAAAATTTATCATTTTATATTGAATACTCCTGTTGGCCCGGAGGGAAGCCCACACGGTGTCCTAATGTAAGAGGAAACTGTACCCGGATCAACCATGTTGCGGGGCAAGTGACCCAAATAACTTCATGTACAATCGGGGAATCAAAAGGAAAACAAGTGTTTTCTGAAACGATGTTTAAATTACGCTTCTTGTCCCGGATGCAAGTGCACAGAGGATTTTACTGTGGTAAGAAACTCGAGTACTTGCAGAAAGCCAGTGGGTCGATCAGGTGTCCCAATATTATGAATAAAAGATAAAATATATATTTTCAAACGATATCTTTCAAACATTTAATAATAAATAAGAAGTGTCAACATTAATGTAAATACATATACCATGTCAAACAGTAAATGTATAGTGTTATCAATAAATATACAATATTAAACAAGATATATATACTTGTATATCAAATATTTATCAATGCATGTAAATATATTTAATGTTAAACAGTACAATATTAAACAGTATTAATAGAAAGTTAACTTTAAAAATACAATTTTGAAAAATGTGTACAATGTTACAAATAAATACATAATGTCAAAATATACATAAAACTTTTAAAAGTATCAAGTTCAACTAATTGAACATCCAAATAAAATATTAATAATCAACATATAATGATAAACAAAATAATGCTGATAAAATGTTAAAATGTTAAACAGTTGATATGAAATAGCAATAAATAGATTATGTTTAACATGAAACATTCAATGTTAATGAATAATTTAAAACGACAAATGATAAATTCATCATAAAGTTTAACCATACATAACCTTAAACACTCAATTTGTTTTAATATAAAGTAAAACATATGGTATATCAACGATACAAAAAGAAACAATAAATATGATATATTAACAATCAACACTAAACAATAAACATAATATAATTAAGCATAAGCACCATACATTTCAGTGTTTCAATATCTAAGAACATTAAATTTTAGTAATATAAGCGATGAAATGAAATTTGCCATAAA